GCCTGCGAGGCTCAGCGCCCCCCCCCCCGGGGCCAGCCGGCCGGCCACCTCTGTGCCACCTGCGGGGACTGGCTGCGCGCCCGGCACGGCTCCGCTCCCACCTACTCGGCCCTGAGCATCAGCGGCGCCCAGAGCCCAAACCCAGCAGGCGGAAGGTGCGTGGGCCAAGGGGACGTTCGCCTCCCCCAGCGGAAACGGGGAAGGGGATATTCGGAAGGGATGCGTGTGGAACAGTGGAGGAATGGGTCACTTTGGGTAGGGGAAAAAAAGCGTATATACCCTAATAAAGCAGGAAAATAAGGTAAACATTGCTGCTGTTTTGCGGTTTGAATTGCTGAGCTTGCAAGGATTACGGCCAGTCTGTGTGCATGAGTAATTTTGCAGGACGCTGTCTGCTGACAGACCTTCTTCCCGTTTCTTATTTTGTGAAATCTAAAAGAGTGCAATTTAAAAAATGCAAGTTTAAAAGCAGTGAAAGAAAGGTGGTGCAAAAATATAGATCCAAAAGTTAAATACTTAGCAACTCATGAAGAAAAAGCGTTCACTTTTCACATGGTTTAGGTTTTGCGTCAGCTTTTCTAAGAGTACAGCGTAGTCTTACGGGCTGAGCGTAGGCTTTTTCTCAGGCAACGTATTGAATGGAGGCAAACTGTAAAAACCCCGTCCGATACAATATCTTGCCCTGTCTAGCTTTTAAACTCCTTGGCATTAAGCTTTAATTACCTGTTCAGTGATGACTTTTGGTCAATACTGGCAATATAACACCCTAGGGATTTTTTTTTCCTGTAAGTTCCTTTAATGGTCCAGTTTTTGCAAAAGTATTTACTATTTAGAAAAAAAAAAAAGTGGTTCAGTAAAGCCCTGCTCAGTGTAGCAATGGGTTACATTCAGTCAGTTGTCTCTCTCACTATTCAGTTCTACTGACAAAGCTCCAGATTTGCTGAGGAGACACTCTGCAGAAGAAGAAATTTCGGAGACGTGTGAAGCAGAGCAGCCCTTGAGCCATGAAAGGTATCTCTTCTGTCTTCCTCTTAAAAATACACCGGAGCCATGGTGGGCATGGATGAAAATAATCTCAGCGAGAGCAGGACTGGACCTAAGGGGGAGCTGCAGGTGCCAGACTTCACAGATGATTTTTGAGTCTCCCTAAAAAGACCTCTGTTTCGTTGCACGTCTTCTTCTGTACTCCTCCACAGCCCTGGTCACATTTGTCCCGTCTGCGAAGGCTGGCTCCGTGCCCACCTCGACCAGGGCGAAAGCCCCGCCGCGGCGTCCGCGGGGCCCGCAGCAGCTCCCAGCCGGGAGGAGGAGCGGTAAGTTCAGCGCTGCCGAGGCAGGGT